TATTTCGAGAATGGCATTCCCTACAATCGTCATTTCTTGACCAAACATTAGATTTTGTTATGGACTGTAATGATCAAACTTTTAAATCATTCAACATTCTACAAGAAAAAAGTTTAAGCATTATATTTCTTATGTTGTAAGATTTGAAATGTGATTTATAAAGTTGAATGGGTACCAAACAAAAATCTTATGCGTTAGAATGATATTGATTCTTAAATGATTAGCTCAGATTTTATTCGGTATCAAGTCATATACTGTTATAGTTCATAGCAAAATCTAATGTTTGGTCAAGAAATGACGATTGTAGGGGATGCCATTCTCGAAATATCGAGTTTCAAAGTTTTTAGTTCAATGTCAAAAATTAAGAGAACTTTCGATCAATTGAAAAAAGTATTCAATCCTTGGCGTGTAGCAACAATATTTACACACTCATAATAAGTTTCAGATGTCTAACTTTTAAGGTCACAGAAAAAAGTCGGTTTAATTAAAAATCGAACTTGATCTATTTTACAAAAACAGAAAATGTTATTTCTCTAAATAAAATCATTTTATAGTTAGTCATCAAAAGATACATTAACTAAATTAGTTTCATGAAAAAATCTTCTTTCATCATTGTACAAAAGGCGATCGAAGTTTAAACTTTGACCTCGATTTTCTAGAAAACAATCCATCGGATGAATCATTTAACAATCGACTCAGTTTTTATTTCCCTACAAACCCACTGTGAGTCTCAGTTCTTAATCGAAATGTTCGAACCTTTGGCAGCAACTTTTGCATTTCATTTGCAAACTTAACCAGAAAAGTGGTTTATTTATTAAAATAAGAGTTAAGATGAGTTTGTTTTGTTCAATAAGTTGTCTACTCGATAATTTAAAACCAAAAATCACGACCCAAATGCAAAAATGGAAAGTTATTAAATTGAATTTAATTGCTAATTAGTAAAGAATCAGCTTGGCAAAAGAAAAGTGATCGTAAGTGATGCCATTCTTGAAATATTTAGGCTCAAAGTTTTAAGACCAATGGCAAAAATCGAGAGAACTGTTGAAAGATTGAAAAAGGTATTTAATCCATGATGTTTACCAATAAATTTCATCTACAAAAACAAAGTTCCAGCTCTCAAACTCTTATGACCACATAATGCGGTCGGTTTAACTTAAAATCGAACTAATCTATTTTACAGAAAACAGAAAACTTTTATTTCTCAAAATAAATATATTTCTTGGTTGACATCAAAAGATACATCAGGCAAATCAGTTTCATAAAAAAGTCCTCTTTCCATAATCGTACAAAAAGCTTTTAAAGTCACAACTTCGAACTCAATTTTCTCGAAAACTGCTCATCAGAGAAATCTTTGAATTGCATAAATGGACTCATATTCATGACCTTACATATTCCAGAGTCTAAATCCGAAAGGAATAAAATTTTTACCCATTTTTGCTCCATTTGTGTCAATTTGTGCACAAATGTGCATAAATTTTGCTAACAACCAAAATGAAGTGCAAATGAACGAAATTGGATGTTTACCAAAGCTTTCAAATCTCAATTTTAAATTTTATTCAAGACTGATTATGAGTTTAAAATGAATTCATTTTGGAAGCGCAGATGCATTAATTAATGTTGGCAATATATAATAACAATAAAAGTTTTCTAGAATTACAATTTATACAGTAAAATACTCATACATTTGTCAACCTTTTGTTTTAAATTCAATTCTTTTGGTTTAGAATGTTGATTAAAAAGTTTCAATTGATCAAGTTGATTAACAGAAGCAAACTTTGCATAAAAATGACTCTTTTATCCTTGGTCGGCAATTGTCAACTCAACAAAAGTGCACATTGGTATTGAGTTTAAAACAGATTAAGTAGTTTACTGCAAATGCAAAGGTGAAGTTATTTATGGATTTAAATTTACAATGGATTTATGAAAATTGTGTTTAATTAGAAAATTAAGGTGATTAAATTGTCGGACAAAGTTCCACCGTAGCTCCTGAGTTTTCACAATCTACAAATGTATCAGTCCGAAGACTGTTTGCTTGGCTCATCGGTCTTGAAATTTCAATATCCTTGATACATCCAATATAAGGTGGCGGCAGGTCAGGGACGACACGTCGGTAATTGTCTGGAACATCACCCAAGTAGAGTGGAGTCAAAGTATCGGCTACATTGACACCACCCGGAGTAAAAACAGCAACATTACTTTCATCATCGACGGTAACGAAATGAGCATTTTGTAGTTTAGTGATTTTAATTGTATGCCAATCGCCATTACAGATGGACGCGTAATCGCCTCGCATTTTAATCTCAGAGTCTTTAGCGCCTTCACCATTATCAACAGTTACTATTATTACTCCATCGACTAGTTTAGCAATTAGATAATCAGTTATGCGGTTCTTTTCATCGGGCTGGCCGAATCGTGACTACGGGATC